CTGTTGCACATATATGCATTTTCGATATCCGCGCGAATATGTAGAATCCGCGAAATAGCCATTAAATACACTCTATCGAATTAATTGTCCAAACGACCATGCCATTACCGAATGAATATGACGAGAAACATTAGTATTAATTTGGTGTTAATTTGATTTATTGCAGTGTCTCTTGGGGAAATGCTCTTTAGACGAGGAAAGATTTTCAAGAAGTATAGATTTTCTTTTAATGTCGAGAGACAAATAGGATGATCTATGTAAAGTACAGCGACCTGTTTCGTTGAAATTACTAGAGACAGTAACAAGATTCTTTCTTGAGTTGCTTAACTTATATTAGAAAGCAGCTTCCATTATTTTTATACAGGACAATGCGAGGGGTAAACCGCTGAGGGCATTGCGGTGTACAGATTTGCGGCATTACTGGGCATTACTAGGCATTTTTGGGGCATTAGTTTGGGCATTATACAGATAAAATAAGATAATAAGACAAAGTAATGCCCACCGGGCATTAATAGGCATTGGTTTACATAATTTTGGTCCGCGGGACAATGTGTCTTAAATATAAATCCATTCTACTTATTACTCTGTACGTGAAAATGTTAACGATCGAAAGGTTATAAAATAAAGATTACAAAAGCGTTTTATATATTTATGCAGTTTTCACGAGAGTACTTTTCGAGAGTGGATTTTCAAAAAATAATTTCAATCGACAAGAATTCATAAAATTTTCATTTTCTTCGAAAAGCACTAATCTTCAAAATAATCGAAAGAGACTATCGCTTGTAACAATTTCTGGAAAAGTAGATCATACCACTTAGACTGTCCTACATACTCATGCATTAAGATTCCTGAAAAATAGAAGGATATAGAACTGACGTTGAAGCGACGGGAATATCATTAATTTCGGGTAATTTCTGTCGACTGAATTTTTTATTAATAGTTACGACCAACTATGTGATCAGCCACGTCGCTGATAAACACGTCGAACGCAATGTAATATAGTAGTCATAGAGGATGCGAGAGTTGCTGGCAATTTCGATATTAATATAAACATGGTGTTTACTGCACAGGCATATAACATAGTATATGACATATAATCAATACCATGTAGCAGGTAGCCAATTTCACGCTTTATGTCGCTGCAAACAGCTATCTTATATTAGACATTATACGAGTCGGTCCGCGGCCTCACGAAATGTATGGGATACAAGAGCTCGTATTGTGTACGTACAATTGATTCCATCGGTCGAATATCGTATGCGATAATTGTGAAGAACACGAGTGCGTATCATTCGGCAAACGCGTGAATATAACTTTGTCGCATACAATTGCGGCTAATTGTTATTATACACGG